CAAAATAAATTTTTATTTTTTAATTTTATTTTTCTTTTTATATTTTATTTATTTCTTTTAATTTCAAACAAATGCTCTCCCCCTTCTGCGGTGTATCCTCACCTCGATCTGTTCTTCTTTATCTCTCCTTTTTATTAATCCCTCTCAATATAAAACAACAAAAAATAAATATATTTCTACATGAAAAATTTAAAATATTATATAAACAAATCCAATCAACAACTGCAGCAGCAAGGGGGGCCCCCCAAGGGGGCCCCCCCGCTGCATGCGGCGCTAAGCCTTTGTTTGTTATAATATATTTAAAAAAATAAATAAATAATAAAAAGAATATATATATAATAATAAATAATAATTTAATACAGAGCGGGAGAGGATAATATGTAGAAGGAGAGAAGGAAATAATAAGAGAAAGAAAGATAAAGAGAAAAAGTAAATAAAAAAAGAAAGAAAAATAAATATAAATTAATATTAAAATATTAATAAATATAAATAATAAATTAAATTAAATAACTAAAAAAAAGAAAACAATTAATTATGATGGGATGCATACATAGTATAAGCAAATAAATAAAAAAAATAAATAAAAAAGTAAATGTAAATAAATAAATATATTAAATAATACAAATAAATAAATAAATTAAATAATATAAATAAATATATTTATTAAATAGTATAAATACACAAAAAAATAAAATAAAATAAAATAAATAAATACTGTATGTTAATAATAACTAAGACGAAATATGTAATATAATAAAAATAATAAAATAATTAATATAGAAAATAAAATACAGAAAATAATATAAATAAAAACAAGAAAACAAATATAATATAAAGTAAACAAAAATAATAAAAAAACAAAAAATAAAGAAATATAAGATAAATAATAAATGAATCGAGAGAGAAGATAAACAAAAAAACGAAACAAAAAAAAAAACAAAAAAATAAAATACTTTTTTATAATATTTATAACCAAAGAACCCAACTAATTTTAATAATAAAAGAGACAGAAAACACAGAAAAAGAGAAAAAGGAGACAGAAGAAAATACACAAAAAGAGAGAAAAGGATAAAAGAGGAGACAAAAGAAAAAAAAGAAAAAAAAGAAAAAAATAAAAATAGACAAAAGAATAAAAAAAATAAAAAAATAAAAAAAGGGGCAGCAGGCTTGTTTTAATTAAATAAAATAAAGAATACTAAAAAAAGTATAAACAAATATAAAACATTATTATATTTATAATAATATATAATTTACATATTTTTATTTTTATTTATAAATATAATTTATTTTATTATTATTATTATTTATTTTATTATTTTTATTATAAATTATTATAATTATAATCAAAAGGATAATTCTATTTCTTTATTTCGCTTATAATAATAATATTAAAAATAAATATAAATATAAATATAATAGTAATAAATATAATTAAAAAAATAATAAAAATAAGAATAATATTAATTATAATGATAAATGCGATTATAATAATTAATATAAATATAAAAATAAATGATGAAATATATAGTTACTGTTCTTAGTATAATTATATTTATTATTTTATATATATATAATTATATTTATTATTTTATATATAAAAAAAAAAATATATATATATATATATATATATATATATATATA